ATACGTAATCTTACCTTAATACATACGTACGTAGTATATATGTATTAGACATTATTATGTATTTAGCACATGTAAATTTCCTCAAATCACGTATACACAGCTGTATAAACAAGTTAGCTATGCGAAAGCATGTGCAAGTTAGATTTGGTATGTAGCATAAACATTATGATCTTAACGTTAATGTATAATGTACTCGCCTTTAGCATGGTCGCAAAGTTGATCATGTTGACAGATCGAAGCTAAAATAGAATGTATAATGTTGATGAATGTCATCAAATAGAATAGAGTTGAAACAAACAATTATGGTGCATTCAATTTTTATCAAAAGTCTGGTGAATGTAGATGCTACGTAATCATTTGAATAGTATTCAATTTGTCGAAGAAGAGATGATATAATTTTAGATTAGATTTTGCATGAGAATAGAATTGGAGCTGAAATAAATAAGCATAAAATACGTATCCAGTTATTATCAAAACTTACCAATAAAGGCATAAACAACGATATTAAATCCAATAATAATGGTAATGAGATCATCACATGTAGAATGAATAATAGTAGAAGGGAAAATAAAAATGATAAAGAGTGTTAGTTAATATTCATATGAATCTTGTTTTTTTTTGTTCTAATAGATCCTCTAGTCGTGGTCTGGCCCAAAAATTAAATGCAGGACAATGCCTGAAGTCGAGAATGTTACTGAGATGGATGATACGTATTGAAATTTGGTGTCTTGGTTATGTTCCGATACGTACTACGTATTCTACTTTCTGAATTAGGAATTATTTACTCTACTTTCTGAATTAGTAATTATTATATCTCTTTATATTTTGATTAAGTAAATTTTTTTTTTTTTGAATTGAATTCATTGTTACGTATTGTAAAAAAAATTGAATTTTAAAAGTTGGGTCGGCAGGTATGTAATGCAAAAAGAAAAATTAATTTTGTGGTCTTTAGGTTAGGATCGAAATTTCATCAAAATTAGATCTTGTAGCACAGTTGTTCTGTACAAATCAGATTTCAGAATTTTGTATGTATACGTAAGAAATCATCATCAATGCTTTTTCCTTGAACGATTTTTACTTTATGCGTAAAATCTAACCCTAACTTTTTTTTGCTTTTAAAATCACAGTTTATTGAAGTACGTATACACTTTAAAATATTACTTTACAACTTTTATTTATACATATAGTTCGTACATATATACTTCGACATCTATTAATGTTTATACAAAATATTTTAATCATGAGCGAATTCTTCAAGAACTTGTTCTGGAATTCGACGATGAGAATGATACTTCTTTACTGCAAAGTCAGCAGCCTTTCCAGAAAGTCCAAGTTCATAAGTACTCATAAATCATTCAAAACGGTGAGCAAAGCGGCGAATTTTTAATAAACTAACAAAATCTAATACCATTGGAACAGTTTTTTTGAGGCTCTTAAAACTATAATCACAGTAAAGTCTTGCATAACATTTCACCTCGGCCCAAACAGACTCAATGTAATTAAGTTCACAATGGAACTTAGGGTAAAAGATGCACATGTGGCCGGCATCTTCAATTACCTAAATTATTTATACGTATGTAAGTAATGGTTTTTAAATAATTTTTTTTTTTTTTTTAACAAAAAAAAACTTATTACCTCTCATATGCATGATCTTTGAGCTGCAAAGTCGGGTTGAGCTGAAAGAATACGCGAAGCGCAACAGTTTGGGTTGTTTGAATCAGGCTTATTTTTTTTACATGTATCACATTTTATTATAAGGCCTGGTATCTATAAACCTCTTTCTTCAAGAACCCGTTTAATTCCCTTAGGCCTTTTTACATTAGCATTGTCTATATAGGTCATTATATGCTTTGAACCATCAGGCATTGTATAATCATGAAGAAGTGGTTTTTGTGTACCGTTTTTCATACCCATTTGCGAGACCAAAAGGGCATCTTTAGCAAATGAACCATAATTGCTACTATTATCAAACATGAATAGAGCTATCTTGTTGGGGTGTATTCGTTCAAATATTGGTATAGCACATTCAACTACCTGATTAACTAAATCATCACATGTCCACCAACCATCACAATTTATCCTGGATAGATGGAAACACCTGCTTCGGTATATTTAAAACACATGGAATCAGGAAGTAAGTCATTTATACCAATTTTATAGTCTGAAAGTTTGAGGCGGCCGATAGATTCACAGACAAAATCACTAATGTGAATACTAAAGCCTTGTGATCAAGGATAGAAATCAAAAATTAGTCAAAAAAATGTTTTTAGCCAACTTACTAAAATATTAGGAATAATAATATATACGTATAAGATACGTATTGGCCATGCAACGATTAATACGTATCATGAAATTTGAGCAAATGATTGGCTGACATGTGCCGTGTAGTAGCACGTTTCATCCAATTATTTGCTCTAACAGAATAAATTTTGTGATATTTATCATTGCATGATCCAATATCGATGTTATCATGCAATTATGATTATGATTTATGAGTCGTGGTTGGCTAACTGAGTTTTAATTCGGGATTGTTGTGATTACGAAATAACGTGCAAAAAATAACAAGAAGAAAAAATCTATGATCATAAGAGTTTGCACGATAACCTGGTCTATTGGGGATTAGCGGAAACGAAGATTCTGCTTATTCACATATGGTTAAGGATATTATTCATTAATCCCAGTGATATTAGTATAGTATTTTAATTAATAATTAAAAATTTTAGTTGGCTGATTAGCTGACTAAAAATGTTAGTTAATTCTGATTCTTACTAA